AACCCGCTCACCTGTACGGATGACGTGCTCTTTCTCCGGGTGGCAATCGTCGAGTGCCGCATGCGCGCTCACCTCCGGTCTGCAGTGCACCTCTCCCCTCATGCCGCCGCGTCGGTGAGTTCTCAAGTTCATTGGTGACTCCCTCTAAGACGAGAGCCCGCTCAACCTCTTCGAACGGTACTCCTACGGGCTGCTCGTAGAGTGCGGCATGCGCGCTCACTCGCCTCTGCAACTGCACCTCTCCCTCATGCCGCGCGTCGGTGCGGTTCCTCAAGTTTCATTGTGACTCCTTGCTTAGATCGAGACGCCCGCTCACCCTGTACGACCGCTACTCCTACACGGGCTGCCTTCGTGAGTGCCGATGCGCGCTCACTCCGCCCTGCAACTGCACCTCTCCCTCATGCGCGCGTCGTGAGTTTTCCTTAAGTCTCATTGTGACTCCTTCTTAAGACGAGAAACGCTCACGCTGTACGACCGGCTACTCCTAGCACGGGCTGCTCGTGGAGTGCCGCACATGCGGCTCACCTCGCTCTGCAACTGCACTCTCCCTCATGCGCGCGTCGGTGATTTCCGCAAGTCTGCATTGTGACTCCTTCTTAAGACGAGAAACGCCTCTCAGCCTCACGACGGCTACTCTTTCTCCGGTGGCATCGTGCGAGTGCCGCATGCGGCCTCACTCCAGAAATGCAACTGCACCTCTCCCCTCATGCCGCGCGTCGGTGAGTTCAAGCCTCATTGTGACTACCTTCTCAAGGACTGATGTTGAACATGCTGCCTTCTACATGAGAACCCGCTCACGCGTTTACGTTTTCTCGAAGTGGAAATGCCGAATGCATTCAATAGATCCATTACAGCACAATTAAATAATTAACAAATGGGGCAGATATGTGTTTATTCTATTTATTGTATCATTTAATATAAACTTAGAGTTTATACTAAAAATGATTAATAATAGCAAGCGATTAAGAATCAGGCGCCTAATACGTTTGATTTAAAGTCAATTCTCGAAATTTTGTTGAGTGGAATGCTCAAACTATTTTAAAAGAAAACCCTTAGTTTTAAATACAAAGTCTTTGAAGTTCTTTAAATTTCAGGGGTTGTAATGACGGACTTTATTATACCACATAAATGCGCTTTCTCCTGTATAGTTGTAGTAGAATCCATTACATCAACTTAAAATTCGAAGCACTATAAATCGACGTCTAAAATAATTTTTTCTCTTAAGCACTTTTTCTCGCAATTCACAAACTCTAAAGACATATTACACTAAATTTGGTTCGAATTAAATCCTTTCTTGTCACATCATTACCACACTCTTATCTTAAAACCCAAAGTGTGATTTCAGCCCTTTAGCAATTGAATATTCGTTTTTAATTTTTAACTGTTATGTAAACTATATTTAATATTTATGAAAAAAATGTTTAATATTATACAATTGGTAAATTTCTTAATATTTAATTAAGTTTTATTCTAATATTCCTGCAAAATTAGTAATATTTGGTGATAATATGTCGGTAGTAAATTAAAATTTTGTTCTAACTGATAGAGAAATCTGAGAATGAATAATCCTTATTTTCAGACTCAAAATATGAATGTGATCTTCGAGGGCTTCATTGCATCATGGATAACGCTGATTACTGGTTATCTCTTCGTCAAAGAAAGGACAACGAGATCATGGGATTATATTGCCCGTGTCTGGTCAACTGCGACTCTTCGGAAATACGGACCACGTACAACCACGAAAGAGTTCGGTAATCCTCCAATACAATACCTATTCTGAGTAAATGTATATTTGTGGTACAGTTTTTGGCTTAATGTTTGAATATTATCAAAATTCAATTTCGTGAACTTTTGAGATAATTTGCTTGAAACTTCACATCTATTTTTCCGGAATAACTATGCCATATATTTAATATTCCTAATTTCGAAACACACATATTAATATCTCAGAGTTTATAAATAACAGAAGAATGGTTTGAATCTTGTCATTAGGACTTAAGTGACCACAAAATATGGATTGTCAATGTATTTTCAATGAGACCGTTTATTTTTACTTAGATTGAATTATCACTGCCATTGTATTCAATTCATCAATTAAAATATAAGTGAATCTTTAACTAATTGGTATTGGAATATTTGTTAACACAAAAAGACATTTTAGCATTCGTTACTGTAGAAATACAAGTTTTATCTCAGCACTAGAATAATACGAGCGTGAAATACGTACGTGAGATGGAGAGAGGGGGTGGGTAGGACCCATTGATGATGTTGCGTTCTAAGGGAAAAGACAGGTTGTTCCGAGTAAAAATACAGTGCGCCAGAAAAATCTCTACGCACTGAGCCGAATCAGGACCTGTTAATAAGAAATGCATTGATGTTGGTAGAAACCAGTTCAGCGAGAAACAAATGAAGTGGATGACGCTTCTAGCATCTATTATAATTGTGATGAGCACTATGTTTACATTTTCTTTTGCTACAAACTGCAGCTACCTAGATACTTTCTGATGTCAAACACTCACCAGCAAGGTGGTACTGCGCAGAGATTTTCGTGGCGTGCTATATGTTGTTGTAATAGTTCATTCTGGGCGCTGGATAATACTCCTTGCTTACTCGCTATTACTTTCCACATACCTCCTGCGTAGTTCATGCTTCCCCTCTGGCCTACATGGGTCCAGAGTCCACCATGTCCACGATGTCTCTGCTCCAGTCAACACCATTCGCCAGTCCCTCCGATGCTCTCCTGAGCAATCTTTGTACACCTTGCAATTGGTAATTTTGACATCATTTTCGTAAACAATTCTCAGTACTCTCAATCCGTCGTCCGTCACAAAGACTCGATTAATGACTTTAAGCCCAGTCATGGTGGACAGAGATGGGTGTGCACTTGTGCTTAGAATCCGACTTCAGACAATGAGCTTCAGGCACGGGTTTGCGTCACAATATAAGCGGGAATTTTAAATACTTATTACAACCCATTAAAAATACATAAAGCACTTTTTAATATTGCTATTTTGTTTAGTTGCCGTTGAAAATTGTCGCTTTATGCTTCTTTCAAAATGTTTCTCAACACTTCTTGCTCTCCCAGATAACCGTCAGCACTTCTCACTTCTCAACACTTCTGGTCTGGCTTTTCAAACCAAGGACCCGCGTGGTGCTCACGTGATTCTTGACGCAAACTGGTTCTACGCAGGACGAGCAAAAATGGGTGCACCGGAGGAGTCCACCCCAAAGATCTCTTTCCACCTTGAGCAGAGCGTAACGTGTAGTAATCGACCAAAATCGATCTTCTGCGCATGTGCAGTTTGAGTTGTGGGTAACTTTTCAGCATATTCCGAAGCATAGGGGTCAGCATTGCTGTCGATTGCTGTGCGCTACGCTGTGCTTAACTCGGTTACTGTTTTTCTCGGCTGTCCATATATTTTATCAATGTTGTTTTCACTTCTATTTCTGGTAAGAAACACTAACAAAATCACTTCAAAGTTTCCAATACCAAAAATCAATGAAAACACGAACAAATTTATTATTCAGGAAATAAACTAGGACGCCAAATATTCCAGAAAACACAAGAAAATAAAGTCCAGTAGAGTTGAAAATGACAATGATAAAATGAAGCGAAACGCTGCGGATTGTTCTTATTCGCCTCTTTCTTTTCGTATTCCTAGGTTATTCCACGCTTAAACTGTCACTCTGGGATTTAACGGTTGCCATAGCAACTTCACTTCGCTTATACCGTACTCGAGTTATTCCATTCTCATTGGTAGCCGATTTCGCAAATCTCTTGCTATTATCGGCTTAAGCACAAAATACAATTTACACCATGTTTATTAGTATGGCCTATAGTGCTGAGAATAGACACTCATGGCAAGCGTTGTCAACGGAGTTGTTAAGAATGGATGACGATATTTTGAAAAGGTGCTCGAAATATCCGCTATTGACGGGGCTGACTCAAGGCTTATTAGGATACTTAGTAACTTGAGCGGACCTTACGAACTGTGGACGTTATAGTATTTTCCACCAGTATATTTATTTGTAGTCAATGAGTAGAATGATTACAAACTACTTCCTCAGGATTTAAATTTTTTTTCATACCAGTTTTTTAAAATCCATTTTTCTTGCCCAAACAACAAAGTAAGTAATCTCGATTTTACTATTACCACTACTTGCATTACGTAAATAATTGTCAATATTATTCCACTTTTTTGAAGCTGATAGATATTTTCATATAATTAATACTTTTTCGAATATAAATGTATTAAAATATAATATAATTTTCTACATTCACAGGCAGGGAAAGTGGCAAAACGGATTTGAGATTTTTCTAACGCAATTTCCTACAATACGATACCAGCGAGTAATTGTTCGATCCCTTCTTGATCAAGTTGGTAAGTATGCAAAAGTTTGTATTTTATGTATACAATTTAGTTTGTTAGTTTTACATCATCAATTACTTTCAGAAATATCACTTTAAAATGTAGTATATAAGACTTACGCTACCACAAGCAAACAAATATTTTACCTCAAATTATGTCATGCCATTCATCATAATAATAAGGTCCACCTTTCTAACTAATCTTTTCTTGACGTAATTGGAAATAATTGAAAATAGTCAAAGAACAATCTACAGAAAGAGGAAGCTCGGTGCTTTCGAAAGATATGCACTCCACTTCTCGATGGAAATATTTTGCCAACTCTCTTTTTGCAATGGCCACGCTATAACACGAATAAAACTTGATTTAAAATAGTAAAAAAACTTCTGAAATTAACAATTTATATGACAAAAGAAACGATGAAACAATATCTTACAATGACATAACAACTGTCACGTTAATTGTTCATTGTTTTCAATATAACACCACTTATGACAGTAATGGGGATATTTTTCGTTATCAGAAAGAAGTTGCAACTTCTATTCAATATTAACTTCTAAAAAACAGATATTGCCCTTGGGGTAGTGCACATAAGTGATGCCCCACATATGCTGTACTGTAAAAGTATGCTGGATGCTTGGAAGGTTATCCACTTCTTGCATTGAACATCGGAAGGACCCGGTGCTTGATGATAGGCGTTAGTCTGCTAAAACTCATTCACTCCTTCTTGCAGTCGGACATCGGCAGCGCTCTGTGCGTGATGTTGGGTGCCAGTTTGCGGGATGTCATTCATATCTTGTAGCAGTGAATATCGGGAGCGCTCTGAATCTGATGTTGGGCGCAAATTTGCCGGAGATCATCCCCTTCTTTTTACACTGAATGTCCGCTGAAATTTGTGCCCGACTTTGAGAACCGAACTGCTGGATCTTCAAGGTAGAGTCAACGACTTTTTGCAGTGCACATCGACAATATTCATGGTTTACTGATTAGCGCCGTCCTGCTCAGTCTATGAATATCAATCACAGAAAACATGAAAACATCGGCGGAACACTGACATAATTCATTTTGCAGTAAATGTCGGTGAAACCCTAAACATCTGACGAAACTTGGCATTTTTCACTGTGCAGTAACCATCAAGGGAAACATGGCATCATTCACTTTTCAGTAAACATCGGCGGAACGCTGGACATCAGCCGAACCCTGGGATTATTCATTGTGCAGTAAACATCAGCGGAATGCAAGCCTAATAATGAGCGCCAGACAAATCGGTATAGAGAACGTTATTTACGTCTTTGCAGATTGCAGAGAACATCAGTGACACGTTGTGCCTGCTGATACACGCCTATCTGATTAGTCTGATTGAGGTCATCCGCCTATTTTTTCAGTGAACATCGGAAGCACCCTGGGTCTCTTGATGGGTGCCAGTTTGCTGAGCCTGGTCGAGGTCATTCACTTCTTCGTGCTGCCCTTGGGTCGCGAGCTCGTGCACTATTTATTCGGTGATGGGGCCACAACTAACGTACAACACCAGTTACAACATTTAGTCAAACTTCCACGGGCCAAGATGAATGCTGTACCAGCTGTCGTCAGGAGATCTCGTCGCTATTTTACCCCCCGCAGGTACTTATGAGGAACTGCAAAGGATAACTCATCTCAACATGATTCTATGACACTGATTCAATATTTACTTTTTCTTATATGTACTATATGCGGAAGATTATACATAGTATAAAGGAAAATATGAAACAGAGAAAATCTATTTCGGAATTTCAACATAAATACACGTTTTGGAATCCCTGATTAGTTAGTTTGAAAAAGTGATCTATTAAAAATGATCGCCGTTTATGAACAACACTAGCGCCTAAACTATTTGTAAGATTTTTCTTAAATTAATATTCCCCGATTGATGTGTTTGGAAGATTTTGAAAATCATTGATTTTTTGAAATTTTTATTTTTATGTTGCCTCTGGGACATTTTTAATTTAGTAAAGATGTCTACAATTTTTTCTATAAATTTCTTGTGCAAAATAGAGTGAAATGCACTTATAAAAGTGACAATGGTCCGAGTTTCACTGTTAATTCGAAATTTAGGATGTTTTTACGCATTATCACAATCGTGAGTTCAATTGCTTCAAGTAATTTTTGATAATGTTTTTCGAAAAATCGAATGTATTCGTGAAGCTAGAGACGACAAAACAGCAGGTATTTTCTCGTCCATACTTTCACGCGAATTACGCAAAAGTACTCATATTTTTGAAAACTTTTAGTTAATCTTATTTCAAAATATATCTTTAAGAAACACATTTCATTAAGTAAAAATTCTTTATCTTTTTATTTACATCTTTTGAAGTACATTCAACCAGAAATGCAATAATGGATACATTTTGCGGTAAATGTGCGTATTAAAGGCGTGAGTGATATTGAATGAATATACTGTTCTACACATCCACTAATTATTATGTGATTCCCTCCATTTGTTCGTATGTTGCAATTTTCACAAACATCAGAGTACATTGGGGGTATTCAGGTGCACTTATTCCTTAATTTGTATAATATAAGTGAGACAGTTGGTGTGAAAAAATAAGATCATTTATCATTCTTTCACGCACATTAAACAATCATTGCTCCTTATAATATTTCCCCTATGACGAACAATTTATACATATAAATTTAAAAAAAAACTATATTACAGAATGTTAAAACAACCAGACGTCTTTTTGAGCAATACAAACATGTATATATTTTATAATGTTTGTTTGCTGAAGGGGATGACTATATTTAATTTGAAGTACTATGTCTTTATCTAACACGTTCTAATAAACGTTTTTATTAGTCACTTGCAAAAGGTTTAATGATATTTCTACAAAAAATCAGTTTGTTTCTCACTTGCTTCTCTGTTAATTGTCTCGAGCGGAATGTGCAATATAACCTCACCAGCCGTTAGTCGTGTCCGTAGAGTCCGACTCTAGAAGAACTCACTCTCCGATCCAAGCGCTGGTTGTACGGCCGTGCGATAGCCGTCCTGGTCAGTTCCTCGCCTCTCCCTGTCACACTGCCATCCGCCATGATCTACTCCACTAGACAAAATAAGATTGTATCTTTGCAAACACTCACCACCCCAAGAGATGGTCGGTGTTTATTCTCTGAACTCAGTAGCCCATGTGAGTTCAGAAAACACTAGCCTAGGTGTTGTTGTCTACATGTAGGCGGCAATCGGGTGGGCATTTGAATTCATGGTGCCTGTCTCCTGTGAATGGCATTTTGTGATTGGTTACAATGAACATAGTACTAAATGTTTTGGAACAGATGGGATAAATGTCATTTTGCTGTATTTTGTTTTTCAAAATTAAAACTCTGTAATTATTGACATTCCTCTCACGTCGTTAATATTTACTCTTTGTAGCAAATGTATAGATATGTATATGTGATGAAGTCTTATAAAGTTTTACGGAAACTAAAAAGTTTTCTGTGAATACGAGTTCAAATTTTCTAATTTTCAGAGTCTCTGAAACATGATTTTCTCAAAACAAGGTTCTGAATTTTTCCTTCAAACGTTTTTTGCATAGTGCTAAATGCACTGCCAGAAAAGTCACATTCTTGTATTATTTTGCTTTTTTTGAAAAAATATTCAAAAGTATTTAAAAAATACATTTTATTCCGATAATGTCCACATTTTTAGCGATTTGTGTACACTAGTGTTTTTGTGGGTGGAAGTGCTTTAACTGACTTACGTTGAAGGTTTTTCAAAAACTCAAAAGTTTTCTCTGAAAAGAGCTTGAAATTTCTCATTTACAGAAACGCTTAACCATTTTCTTTAAATGCCTCCCAAATAAAATTTGTCAACGAAAATTTTCATATGGATGAGGTTTTACTGTTATATAATATTTTTAAAATAATATTTCTTTTTTATTTATTAGGAAACCGAGAAATTGAGAAAATGTTTTTAAAATGTTCATTAGGTGGTGATAGATGGCAGGTGGGAAAATAGTAAGGAAAGATCAAAAAGCTAGCCCAGAACAAAGAAATTAGAAAACTTTCGAGACGCCATTTGAGAATGTCATTCTGTAGCATCCCTAGTTATTTCCATGCAACTTTGTTTCTTATTATTGCGATAGACCTTCAGTACTTTTGTTAAAAATATTAGTTACTGGAAAGATTACATTACATTTTTATATGTTGTTATAAATAAAATTTGCTAGTTGCCCGCTCCATCCAAAATGCTTCGAACAAAGTTATACAAAAGTTTCCTCCAGAAAGTATCACATATATTGCTTAAGAAGTAGAAATAAAATACTCTCATACAACACTGCTATAAATTAAATTTGTTGTCAAAGACTCTCTTCATGAATATTTCAATAATATTAGAGCAGTTTTTTATACATAAGGAATTGTACATAAGGAAAACTGTTATTCTACTACTAGTGGTAGAATTTATAAAATTTCATTTAATTTTCTATTGCAATCCTTCAGGAAGATTCCTTTGGCATCATTCAAGTTTCCCGAATTATTCTTGCAACACCATACTGGATGAAGAGGAGAAGAGCAATACAGCTGACGTAATTGCTCCTGAAGCTGCTGAGCACGATCTCCTCTATTTTCACCATCACGTTTTTAATTTTAGACAGGGAAATGGAAATACACATTAAAAGGGTACTTAACCCACCTTTCAATGTTAATTCTCTAATAATGTAACTTCATCAAATAACGGAATTTAGAAAAAGAAGACATGTAAGTAATGTTGGCATGTACTCATTCTATCTAACGTAGGGGAATGTTGAATATAATACGTATTTGTAGAAAGACTGTTTATACATCACTAACAAGGCTTAAATTTGATGTACAAGATGTTCAAAATAACGATATGTTGACTGAAAATGATTGATCACAATCATTCAATATATTTGCTAGTTATCGTTTCTGGTCCTCCGACCTTAGGGGCGCGGCTATGTTAAATTATTTACGATGGTACGTTACAATTGTGACTGTCCATTAATTGTTCATATTTTTTTCTGTCCAATTTTTTTCACCTTGTTTTCATATGCAATTCTATCCCCTTCGTGACAAATATTTTCCAAGAATTTATTCTTTTTATGAAAAAAAATAAACTTATGGATACTATTTTCTGCAAATATGATTTGTAATTTTACAAATTACAGGTATGTACTAAAGTATTAATATAAAAATTTATTTTCTTAGTTTTTTTTCCTTTTCTGCTGTTAATAGTGTTAATAGCAATTTGTGTAGTTCATTGAAACCTCATACATTGTACAATATAATAGCTACATAAATCGCTTATATCTGTTCTGCGTGTTCTTCTAGTTGCACGTCAACACTTTTTGTGAAGGAATGTGTTGTCATGGCTATTTGTAGAATCTTTAATTCCAAAACAAATGTGTTGTCAGAATTTAATAGTACTTACACTGACCAAAGAAAAGTGGAAGAGACAATATTTACATTTTACAACAATGTGGCATAGTAAGTTCACATTTACTTATTTTTACTACTGTGCTACTGAACTGCGTGAGGGACTGGCACAGTTCCTCACCCACTTCAGTAGCTCCCTACAGTTATACACTCCAGAAGAAATGTATTGTTTGTTAGTAATAGTTTATTCGCGCGCGCGCGCGCGCGCGCGCGGGACGAGCCGCGCATTGGCTCTGTATGCATTATGTATTGATTCATCTCATTATATTAATATGAATCTAAAGTGTGTTCACCTTTCGTTTTCGTAATGTATGTATGTGATACCTTATTCCTTCCAGCAACTGTCGAAGACAGAAAGACAGTGCAAGGTTAGTTCTTGAGGCTAGCTTCACCAGCGGGAAAACTATGATAATACGTTTTTATTTTGAAATTAAAAGGTTGAGCGCAATAGTGTTCTAAACACTCAAAAAAATAAAAAAATAATTATTGACACCCTTTGTTATCTAAGAAGGTGAACTACCTTTGTAAATTGATGGTTCGATTAGTTTTTCTCCATAAAGTAACGAACCATTTTGTAAATGCGCCGGCCGCACGGGGATTTGGCCTCGGCGAACGACGCCGCGAAATCGCGACAGGGCGGTCTGTAGAATCTCCGCAGGGTGAAGGTCTTTCGTTACCGGAAAGTTTAAAAGGTATTCATATTATACATACATTCTCGACACATAAATAATTTCTGGTTCACACGTTAAACAATGTCTTGTGGCATTGAAGAGCTCTGTTCCTGTATATTGGGCCTTAATTCTTCTTCCGTATGAAGATATGTCGCATACATATGATGCGAACAGTCATAAATCTGCAAAGAAATAAATCCGAAAAGTACGCATACACTAATAATTGGTAAAACAGAGCATGACAAGACGGGGCAGAATTCGATGAGAAAGGAATAGGGTCGGGCAGTGCCGGGCAAAGTGGACGAAGAGATCGAGAGCGATAAAGTAAATATCAACATTAAGAAGCGACACTTATGTTTTTAACGCTTCCGGCAAACAAATATTTCTTATTTCTCATGTTATTACGTGTTTCACAGCAGGCTGTAATGTGAAACTTTAAGAATAACGAATTTTCATACTAACGTATGTGCTTAGTAACGTATGTACCAAAGCGGTTGAATCACAATTACAACATTCACGATAGTTATTAATATATCTAGAGCTCACACAAACGTGATGGCGGGGATTGAGGAAGGAGTCGAGGACCGGATAAGGGCGGGAGTGAGAGCAAGAAATTGCACTTATCCCATGTCCTCACGTCTTGCTAACTGGGGTTAACTTGGATGGGGGCCGAGTCCATTTTTTCAGCGGACAACATAGCGTAACAACATCAAATCTGAGGTAAAATTCGTGTTTTTTAAGTTTTGACTTTTCAGTTATTTCCTTTGAACCACCTTCTTTGTTTATAATCAAATTCATGAATTTGCTGATTGCATGAAGGTTAATGCGAGAACACCTACAATGATGCTCCCACACACAAAAACGATCCAGATGAAGAGTTATGAAATGAAACGATCTATTCAATCTATTTCTGTTTTACGTTAGAGCTAGAAATCAATTAGCTTCCTCAGCACGAATCTGTTGGGCTGGGACCTGTAATTCAAGTTTATATGTTTTTCAATTCTATCCTCTTTATCCATTACAATAATCGGTTTAGCGGGTATTGAGCAGACATCACATTTTTGTATATCAATGTTGATATTCTCCGTTTTAAAACTGACAAAAGTTTATTTCTGAAATTCCTACATCTATGACTTAAAGTTTCTAGCAGCATATGGGCAACATTGGATTGAACGGTGAGCTTTATTCGGAATAGTTAGCGCAGAGCACATTACTTATACAATAATTATGATAGTAACAACAACAACAAAAACAATAATAATAATAATATTAATAACAATACTACTACTACTACTACTACTACTACTACTACTACTACTACTAATAATAATAATAATAATAATAAAGATAACTGTGCCAAAATTACTTCTTAATTTTTGCATTTTATCTTAGGTTAGCAGAACTTTTATTACATAATAACATGAAGTCGAATGTTATGTGCAACATTCTTGGAATACAGAAAAGTAGTTCTCAAAAAAATGGTTCACTGAACCACGGTGTGGGTATAAATGAGCTACTATGGTTAAGTGAACATTACGAGTATTTTGAACACAGTTCTACGATTATTAATAAACATTCCGAAACACACTATTTATGATGAAACGTTTCATGACAACTCACACAATCATCCATTTTTTAAGATGAACTTTGAATCCAGAATTATGGAATTTTGCAATTTTGTGAGTAAGATTTTTTGCAATTTTGGTAGTTAAACCATAGTACATAGTGAGATCAGTTGTAATCTTTATTCTTCTAACATGTAACTTTTCTTCCTTGTTAAAAAAGTTAATTACAGGAACCGAAATTAACAAGTTCTACACCCGTATTACAATGTTCTCTTTGATTACCTGAATCCTTTTGAATTTGGCAATGTTCCTTCCTGAACGTTTGGAACGTGAGTTCCGACTCATCGCCTTTCGGAATATTCTCCTGTTGCACTGTGTCACTCACCTCCACCGCATTGCGTACAACAGACATAGTCGGAAACAAACATATCTATCTTCAATTTTGTAGTTTTAAATTTTATTATTGCAATTTTCGAAAAACTGAGCAATACCAGAAAATAGGACTAGCACCATATTTTTTACCGTCCCTAATAACTGAGGCGGAGAAAATTTAAAGAAAATTTTTTAGCGGTTTTTGAAAACAAATCTTTAATTTGAAGCACAAATTACGCAAAAGCAAGGCATATTTAAAAAATGTATATTACTTTTTATAAGAGTTAATTTTGTACAATATACTTTGTCTGCGGCAAAAGTTGGTATCTTCAATTTTGTAGTTTTAATTTCTCGATGTAATTTTCGAAAAATCGGAAATGTCAACGACAATGTGATCTGCACCACTTTTAAAAGGCCTTCGCAATATTGCGAGAACGTAAAAACGCTTTCACTGATTCGTGCAAAAGAAATTTTTGATATGATCAAAACATTAAGTCTGTTAGCACACATTGGCGAGAGATGTGCTTTCCTACATTAATTATTTTAGGAAAATATCAGTTTTACTTTGTTTGAGGGCGGCGACTCTGCACTTTAACACCTGACTTGAAACAAGCATATGAAGTGAACAAATCATTCCCAAATACTTCATACTTTCAAGAAATCTGTTCCTTGACTTCTTGACATAAAAGTACGAAGCATATTTCTACCCCAATATTCTGAGTAGCAAACTCTGATCCTTGGAAATGTCTCCATTACTTTCAATGCCACCTTCAATGTCATCTTCAGTGAGATTTTGAAGTTTACGAAGTATTTCTTGTGCATCCAGCCCCTTTTCTCTACACATTACGCACAGATTTACTCACACGCACAGCTTATTATTATATTATTCAAATCATAGACTGCGAAAACACCTCTACACGTCTATTGATTCGAAACGAAACAGATTGAATCCGGCGATTTCTAACAGATCGCTATCATAATGCATCGAATTTCAAGGAGTCAATATCAATCTGAAAACAAGAGGAGTAATATTTCCTCCGGATATATGAGACAAAAAATTGCCATAGAAAAACTTGTACTGTGTCAATATATCACTTTTCTAGGTATATGTAGAAATGTTCCCCAATATATGAAAATCATAGGATTGGGCTTTAGAACACGTGAAGTTGTTGTACTAAAGAACTCGCTAACAAAGGATCCACTTTCTAACTGTTAAACCTAGAACACTAATTTGAAGCATGTTAAAATAAAGCATGATAAATGTCCGAAGTAAATCAACATGCCTTGCCACCAATCGCTACACACGTGTTGCGCTGCAGTGCGTGCAGTGCTTGTGATACACTTGAATTCATCAAACTTTCTCTTCCACACGCTATATTTATAATGTGTGTTAGAGAAGATACCTGGTAATAGACATGATGTGCTGTTTAAAGTTCTTTGATTAAAAGAGATTCCCACACGGTAGCTTAACTATTATAAATACGTAGCTCATATGTTTAATAGTGAGATACACTGTCCGAATTTTCAGGTAACGATAAAATGTGCACCCATATAAATAATCTCTCAGGCAAGACT